AGAGGGGGTGCTGAATGAGGATGTTGCATCTGAAAACGTGCTGCAGAGCCTGTATTTCACATTTTTATTTCTTTTTTGCAAGGTTATGATTTTGTGGAGTATTTCTTATCTTTGGGCTTATAATGCTTTACAGGTTCTTTATACCTTTTACTAATTTTCAGGCAATCAGTACATTAATGAGAGCAATGGCCTATGTATTATCAATTTGTTGTAATGTAATTGCTCTGCATATTGTAAGAATTTATTGCAAGACAATTTTGTAGTTGTTTTCCATCTTAGCAATCCTGTAACCATTCACATACTTCAGCAGTAGAATATCTTTGTAATATATTCTAATATACAAAGCCTTTCCCCCCCCAGTTACCCAGCTATGCTGTTAATATATTAGTATACACCCAATCTTTGTCTTGAGCCTTTTTTTTGTTTTATTTGTGATAACTTCCATCACGCTCTGAGCTGGCTGAATTCCCGTGCACTGGAGTCCTTCTGTACTAATATGTCTTCGCTCTGTGTGGTCTTTAGGCTTCTGGTATGCCAGGAAACAGTGAAAGATTGCTGTTTATTTTTTTTTCTTCAAACTTCTATTTTTGATCTTATATCAGTCTAGTTTGGACACTGAAAGATCTAGGTTATGCAGATTTGGTGATTTTTTTTTTTTTATATATATTCAGAAAGTCTTGAAGTTGTGTATGTTTGTCTTGAGACATTCAGTATAGTGCTGAATTTGTGACTTTTTTTTTTGCCAGCTGTATGAAACAGGATTAACATTGATTAGAAAAAGGGATAATTGGCAGTGTCCAAAGAGACATTTCCCTAAGTTTTCATTCTTAGTTCCAGTAACAATTTTAAAATTAATTTGTTCTCCATTTCCAGTGTTGTAAATGAATCTCTTATGCAGTCTTGCTTTGTAAATTTGGCTGTTGGATTTAAGGAGTTGAAGCACCCGGTTCACAAACACTGAACTGGAAGTTGTGTGCATCGTGTTAGATACAGTGTTTGCAGTCTTACCAGTTCTTGATTACATAATGTTGCCATATTTTACATCATACTAACTATAGTCCTAGTAGAGGTAAGAGCAAACTTTGGCTGCTTTCTAGATTTCTGAAAGCTTTGCTAGCATAAATGGGAAGCACATCTGTCTGTGCTTTTAAGTGCTTATTCCTGAATACGATCCCATCTCTGACCAGCAGCTGAACAACCAGTGTCTGTTTATTTGCTTCAGCAGCGCTGGTCTACCTTTGCATTTCTATGATGCAATGGTGGTTAAGTCTACCAGACCGGTTATGGAAACATCAGTATGCTCTGCTGGCAAAACTGTTTGTGCTACTATAGTAAAGTCGTTCATGAGCAAAGCAGTCTCTCAAGGGAAAATACAGACTTGTTGCTGTGTCTGTGCTTCAGCTGGCAGTATTTCATTGACACAATCCTGTTGGTAAGGGGTTAATGGTGAGGAGTAAGTGGCTGGTACCTAACAATTAACAAGGTTTTGCTAGTCACAGTAGACATGGTGGCTTACTTGGATTCTGCTTAACTTTCTCTTTTTTTTTTCTTTTCCAAATATAAAATCTTGATTCTTGCATGGGAACGCTGTAATTCTGCGTTTGTTTTTTGTGACCTCCACCGATGACTTCTGACTAGTTTGAATTGTTGTCACATCAAAATATTTTATTCAAGTCCAGATTAATTTAATCTTAAGAAGTTGTACTTCTTAAATACATGGGATGTACTACTCTTGCTGTTTGCTGAATGGGAATTTGTGCTGAGATCTGATAATAGTCTGTCAGCACTGTGAGGTTTTGGAGTTTTTTTTTTTTGTTTTTTTTTGTGTTTTTTTTTTTTTTTAAGAAAAAGCTGGGGGAGAAAAACTGCTGTTTAACTGATATAAAAAAGAAGCATACAAAGCAAGGTGTCTTGGAACATTATATTTAGTAGATGTCTTCCTGAAGCAAAGCTAATTGGATGCAAAGAATTGTGAGATTGTCACAACAGCCTAATTCTGAGGCTTGATCTGCACTTGACTTCACAGTTGTGTCGATGTGCGTTTAGGTTCTGATGATTTTCAGTAAGGTGGTTATGCTAGTAAAAGGCCTCTTTTGCAATTTGTTCTGTTAAACTGCAATAAACTGCATGGATGTGACTGCTGTGTCAAAGTGTTATTTTTTTTGATTTTTTTTGATTTTGATGGCCTAGCTAAGAAAGTGAAACAACTGTAGGTGAAACTGAAGTCAATGTTCACAGCTACCAGTTTGCCCTGCAGATAGTTAGCTTTTAAATCTCTATTGCATTAATAAATGCTTCCCATATATATTGCAGTGCAACATATAGCATGATTTTATTCTAGTTTATTCTAAATTTTTTTTTTTTTAAAGTCTTCACATTTTGGGACTGCCTGAAATGTGTAGGCAGAAGTGCTAAAATTTTGGACTATAAGATGTTCTGTTCCCTTTGTTATTTTCCAGCTTGTAGACTCTAGCAGGTCAACACAAAGTCTTGCCTGGAATTTCCTTGCATTCTAAAATTAGGAGAAGGATCTAGGAAACAATAGCAAATCAAGTCTCTCAACCTCCTGCTCTGGCTTGAACCTTTGTTGTCATTTAGACTTTCACCTACTTCCTTTCTTATTAAACTGATTTGCATTAGATAAACTCAATTAAAAAGAAATTATGCGTCCGGTGTCAAGAGGACTTTTTTTTTTTCTTTTTTTACTTATTATGGTCTCCTGTACTACTTCAGGACGTCAGGAGTATGAGTTTCATATCACTGCTGTTCATCCCAAAGCACTTCCTCTTTTCAGGATGGCGACTGATGTGGAAATATGACAGCCTCAGCGTGGCAAAGGCCGTGCCGTGTTTTGCAGTCCCTCAAACATGCACTTGCACCCAGCAGTGCTTCCTGACTGAGACATGTCTATGGGAAGCTGCAGAGGTTTTGATCTACAGCAGAGAAACTTCTCAAGTTTTATTATTAGACCTCATCATCATCCCTTCTAGTGGGGCAAGCAGCTCTCTTTATGGTCTGTGTATCTCTTCGCGGTTATGTTGTGCATCATCTTTTCGTTCCTTACCCCTCCCCTGTCTGGCCTGTATTATTCCTCTTTGCAATGTTATGAGTGACAGTTGTGGGTGTTCCACCACCCCGAACCTGCACAAATCCCAATACCTCCACAGCTATTCCTGGGGAGATCTGTTTCAGCAACCTTTTATGCAGATGGATTACTGCAAAGGCAACTGAGAAAGAAGGTTCAGACCTCAAATTCTTGTTTGGTCCTTCTCAGTGTGGTCTGTGTAAGCAGCCCTGACTCTCTGGACATACTCTCTGATCTGTAAGTAATCCTGCAACTACATCTTCTGTTGCTTACTGTAACTCCCTCTCTGCCTCTGGCGTAGGACAGACAGGAAGATTACATGGATTAGAAGTGGCTTCTGCATGTTACTTGGTAGACCTGAGTTTCTTCCTAACTTCGTCACTACTTCCTTTTGCATCACCTGTTGAGTTATTAGCTTCTTAAGGTTTGGCCATCTAAAACTCATTTAGAGGTGGCTTAGAGTGCTTTTCTAGTACTGTGGTAGAACACAAACACGTAATCAGAGACAGTGTTACTACATGTGTGTGCAGCAGTCTCTGCCTTTTATCTCTTTGTGGGTTATGGGTAAACTTCTTAAAACTGTCTCATTTTTTACAGTGGCCCAGTATTGTTTGTTTGTTATTCCCAGGCACTCTGAAATGATCCAGGAAATGCAACAAATGCCACAGCCTTGGTTTCCATCCTGTCCAGTACCCTATGTCTGACAATAGTTAGAAGCAGCTGCAAGATTTGTTCAGTTGATAATTATAGTATGTTGTGTTTGGTAAGCTTACAGAGAGGCTGTTGACATCTATAAAGAGTATGATTGATGAATCTTGTTATTTACCATTTATAGTTAATATAATTGACTTCTGAGAGCAAGGGTAGGTGTGAAAAAATTGGATGTTGTTAGACTAGGAGACCTCTAGAAGTCCCTTCCTGTCAACATTTGTGTGACTGTGGTGTTTCTAGGAAGAAATTTTCTTTCCTTCTCTAATTCTTTGTTACTTGGGCCCTACAGATAGTTTGCCTGCTCCTTTTCTTTTCTGGTACAGGTGGCACAAACACTTTCCTTGTTGGTGTAGGGACCTGTCACTGATGTCCTGACAAAATGTACTGTACAGGAGATGTATATGACAGCAGGGACAGGACTTTGGCCTGGAAGTCCCCTTATGTTTCTCCTTTGTTGGCTTCTCTGGACCAGACTCATAAACACTGTAGTGTCTGCTGGCAACCTGCTTTATAGTGACTTCCTCATGATCACAGAATCACTAGGTTGGAAAGGACCTTCAAGATCATCAAGTCCAACCATTAGTCCAGCGCCACCATGTCCCCTAAACCATGTCCTGAAGCGCCACATCCACACGTTTCTTGAACACTTCCAGAGATGGCGACTCCACCACCTCCCTGGGCAGCCTGTTCCAATGCCTGACCACCCTCTCGGTGAAGAAATTTTTCCTAATATCCAATCTAAACCTCCCCTGGCACAACTTAAGGCCATTTCCTCTTGTCCTATCACTAGTTACTTGGGAGAAGAGGCCAACACCCTCATCGCCACAACACCCTTTCAGGTAGTTGTAGAGAGCAATAGCAGATGATGCTAGTAGTTGAATGCCTAAGGCAAACTATTCCTAAGAAGGAACATCCATTTTGTGTCCTACAAGAGAGGGAGAAGAGCAGTGGGGTAATAGAGATGTTAAATGAATCCTCAAGCTAAACTCATTCATGGTGCCTTTCTTCTTTCACCCATGTCTCTTGTAGACTTTAATCGGGGTTCTTACCTGTGCAGCTACGGCGCTTTGAGAACCTCACCAGGACAGAGGTTATGAGAGAAGGCAGTTGTCTCCCGGGATGGATGCCTAGATTTGCCCTGAGGTGACAAGACAGGTTTCCCGCAGAACTGCTGCTGACCCAGTTTTGCTCTCTCCTGTCATAGCCTTTCTTTAGGCTTCTGAACCTGCGCAAGCTGGGTCTGAGTGACAATGAAATCCAGAGACTTCCCCCTGAGGTTGCCAACTTCATGCAACTGGTGGAACTGGACATCTCCCGTAACGGTAAGGTCAAAGCTAAATGGGGAGTGGGTGCCCCACAGCCCTGCTTCTCAGTATAGTAGTACTACCCTGTGCACTCATGTTCTGGAAGAGGCAGTACCCTTTCACAGTCCTGCAGAGTGATCTTTTGTGGGTCCTGAGCTATGAAAATATGCTTGTCTTACTGTGTCTTAGGCTGTCACCAGTACCTGGTGTGTCCCATTTTCCACATGATAGGCTCTTTTCAAGCTTCTTTTTTTCTTTCATGTTTTTTCCAGACATTCCAGAAATTCCTGAAAGCATCAAATTCTGCAAATCCTTGGAAATCGCAGACTTCAGTGGGAATCCTCTCTCCAGGTAGGAAGGCATATGCAACCCTTCTGTAGAGCTGAGAATGAGAGGTGAAGTTCCTCATTCTCCCTAGCTTTCTCTGGTCTTCATCTTGTAATTATCTTCCCTTGAATTCAAAGCCTAGGATAACCCTCCCTTTGCCAGGACCTGCAGATGTTTGCTCTCCTGACAGGTGGAACACTCAGCATAGTGAAGCGCTGGTGTGTACTCCCTCTTCTGCAGGGCCTGTGGCTTGGATTGATGAGCCTTTAGTCATACTGTTGCCACTGGTGTGAATGGTGAGGACTTTTGTCCTCTTGGAATAAGTTTATTATTCCCTCCTCACCCTTTCACCCTAGTGCACAAACCAGAATGGATGTGGACGTGTACTACAGATATGTAGAGAAAGGCCTGCATGCTATCCTTTGCTCTCTGTCAGTCTTTTTTGCTCTCTGTCAGTCCTTTTTGCTCTCTGTCAGTCCTTTTTGCTATGTCTTCTTATTTATAACTTAGGATAGCAGTCCTTTGAACTGTGTTTGGTCGGTTTCCCTGATATCTCAGTGCCCAGAGCTATGTCCAAGAATGGGGCTATCTGCCTTGTCTCTTCAGTCTTGTGTCTCTACAGCTCTTAATCCATAATGTTTTGGGAATTTAAATGTGGCTCCTTTGCCTTGGTGAACCATGCTTTCAGGCACTGATGTCTTGATGCATTGTCTTCCAGGGTCCCTGTAGATGCCAGTCTAACTCCAGATGCCTGGCTGCCCTTTGTGTTCCCGGGCAAGTGCTGCCTAAGTCACCCTTTAAATATGATTTAACTCTCTGCTTCCCTCTTGTGGTGCCAGACACTGCCAGAATGGGACAAGCTTTTCAGTCACTGAGAATCCCTGTACCACAGGAATGACTAGCACTTCTACATTAGAAGTTATTTGTCAGAGTCTTTTTGTGGCCCAGAGTTGTAAGATGTGTGTCATGAGCAGTGGGGCAGGGAATCTCCAGGAACTGTCTGTGAACAGCAAAGGATTTCTCCTTTTCCCTGATCTTTCCCTGTTCTATTTCACCTTGGATCTGTTATGATGATACTGCATGGTCCTGGGAAATGCTGCAGTGTCATCTGCAGAACTATCCTTAGATGGGCATTTGGATTACTTGGTAGCCCTCCCTGCTTCCAAGTTTAAATGATCACATGGCATAATTTAGTCTGGGATTTGTGCTTGAGTACTGCAGAGCCAAGTTTGCACACTTGGACATGTAGTGACTTTGGTGCAAGGGGGTATTGTTGTCTTGGAAATGGGGCATATCCTGGATCTGGAGCCAGGATCAGAGTTGGTCCCTGCACTTCTCCTTTCCACATGTTGATAACAATTGGGATAAGACTGGCTTTTGAGGGATTTAAATGAGGAATTTAGGGTTTGTTTCATGCACAGAATTAATGGTGTTTTGTTCTGTCATGCTTTCACAGGCTTCCAGAGGGCTTTACACAGCTTCGGAGCCTGGGCCATTTGGCCTTGAATGATGTGTCCCTGCAGAGCCTCCCCAATGACATTGGGAAGTGAGTATGCCCCTGTTTCTCATAATGGGGAGGAGGGTTGGGGTGGGGACACCATGCTGTTGGGGTGATGACACTAGCCGGACTTGGAGGGGAAGAGTGTGCCATCCCAGTTACAGCTTACCACTGTAGTGAACATACTGTGTGAGCACCTCTAAGCATTTTGCTTGTTAAAATACAATCTTTTTAAAAAGTTTCCTTTCCTGGTCTCAGCTGCTTCTCCTCCTCTGTGGTCTGTGGCACAGGCAAGGAGTGCATCCAGGCTTCTTATATCCTCTGTCTTATTTTATGAGTGCCCATTTATCCCTTTCCAAACAGGTGTGGTCTGTCCGATGATGTTGAAATGATTTATGCTGCTAGCAAATGGCCAAGGCAGAGCCCATGGGGCTTTGCCCATGGGATGCAGTGCCCCTACCAAGGGATTTGGCTTTCTATACCTGAGGGTTTTTATCTTTGGATCTAGAAATGTCTAAGCAACAGAGCTCAAAGGGTTGTGGTCAGCGGCACAGAGTCCAGATGGAGGCCTGTAGCTAGTGGTGTTCCCCAGGGATCAGTACTGGGTCCAGTTTTGTTCAACACCTTCATCAATGACCTAGATGAAGGGTTGGAATGAACCCTCATCAAGTTTGCTGATGATACAAAACTGGGAGGAGTGGTTGATACACCAGGAGGCTGTGCTGCCATTCAATGGGATCTGGACAGACTGGAGAGGTTGGGTGGAGGGGAACCTCATGAAATTTAACGAGGACAAGTGTAGAGTTCTGCACCCGGGAAGGAACAACCCGATGCACCAGCACAGGTTAGGGTTGACCTGCTGGAAAGCAGCTCCATGGAGAAGGACCTTGGAGTCCTGGTAGACAATGTTATCCATGGGACAGCAATGTGCCCTGGTGGCCAAGAGGGCCAGTGGTATCCTGGGGTGCATTAAGAGTGTGACCAGCAGGTCGAGACGGATTATCCTCCCCCTCTACTCTGTGCTGGTGAGGCCTCATCTGGAGTATTGTGTCCAGTTCTGGGCTCCCCAGTTCAAGAGAGACAGGGAACTTTTGGAGAGAGTTCAATGGAGGGCTACAAGGATGATCAAGGGACTGGAACATCTCTTGTATGAGGAAAGCTGAGAGACCTGGGGCTGTTTAGTCTGGACAAGAGAAGGCTGAGAGGGGATGTTATCATTGTCTATAAATATCTAAAGGGTGGCTGTCAGGAGGATGGAGCCAGTCTCTTTTCAGTAGTGCCCAGTGATAGGACGAGGGGCAATGGGCATAAACTGCAGCACAGGAAGTTCCATCTCAACATGAGGAACAACTTCTTTACGGTGAGGGTGACGGAGCACTGGAAAAGGCTGCCCAGAGAGGTTGTGGAGTCTCCTTCTCTGGAGACCTTCAAAACCCAACTGGACACGTTCCTGTGCAACCTGCCCTAGGTGATCCTACCTTGGCAGAGTGGTTGGACCAGATGATCTTCAGAGGTCCCTTCCAACCCCTACCGTTCTGTGACTCTGTGAATCTTTTTGAGCAGGCAGTCCTGTGTGTGATACTATGTTTCCTTGTCCTGAATTTGGGCACAGTGTTGTTTCCCCATGATTTTGCAATAAGCAGTCACCTTCGTCAGAAGTCATTTAAGATCCTCTTTGTTTTTTGTTTTCCTCTGTCATCTCCATTTATGTGTACACACTCGTGTATATGCATTTGTGCAAGTCATAAGGGGTGGTCCCAAGGGAAGGGATATGAACACCTCCTTGTATCCCTGAAGCCCTATTCAGTGAATTTGGCTTTCTCGCTCCCTTTTCTCTTGCAGTTTGGCAAACCTGGTGACTTTGGAGCTACGTGAGAACCTGCTAAAGACTCTCCCCACGTGAGTGTGTCTGTCTGGTGGCTTCAGGAGTCTCCTGCGTGATCGGTCTTCCTGATTCCTCAGGGACTTGCTCTTTCTGTAGTACAGGCTCTAGCACTTTGCTTGGGAGGGCTCAAGGCTTTGCATAGATTAGCTGTGTCTTGCTGGATTTCTGTAGATTGGGGTGAGGAGGGAGAGAGATGGTACAGGGCTTAAGAGCAGGGGAGGATGTTCAGAGTCTGTACTCAGCCTCTGTGTCAGGACTGATTTGGAACAAGGCAGGGTTCCATAAGAAAGCTGCTGGAAATGGTGAGAACCATTTTTCCTGGAGAGCTGGAGCAGATGATTGATTCTTTTGCAAAAAAAGAAAAAAATGTACTGATGTGGGTATATGAAGAACTCTGTACACAGTGAAGTTCATAATTTAAAGGGCAACAGAATACCACTGAAGATATATTTTGCTTCTGACGTTTCTGTTTTCTTGGGTATCACTTCTTGATTGTTCTGGTTGAGCAGTTTGTGGGAGTGGGTAGGATAACTGGCTTTCCTGCAGCAGATAAAAAACAAGCCAGCAAAGGAGAAGAGGTAAGTCTTGTTAAATGTTTCAGAAAGTTAGGGACAGAGATGAATTCCTGGTAGAGGATCCAGCTGGTACAGCTGATGCTCTCAGGTAGATAGGATGTGGGGAACTAATGAGTCTGTAAAGTGAGAAACAGCAACCCCTGTTTGGAGAAGTGGGAGTTAGAGTCAGTGGGGTAGGACCGAAAGCTGAGGACATGTGAACAGCTGGGCCATGTCAGAAGAACTGAATCCTGGTTTTGTGGGGTTGCAGACTGCAGCCTTTTATATCACCAGGTTGTAATGTGTTTGGATACTCAGGGCACATCCTTGGATCGCCAGTGTTGACAGGCTTTGGTTCCCATGCAGGCTTCTCGCAGTATCTTGCCTAGTGAGCTTATTGTCTATACGTCTTGACCTCTTATGACACATTGTGCCAGTGTTGTCTTTCCCTTTCTCTTAGGCAGCATGGGCATCCCATTTGAGGAAACTGAGGCTGTTGAATTTGTCATTCCTGCCTCTCCCTGCAGCTATGCTTCCCTTGCCCCCCAAATACGTATTGTCCTCTGCTGACTTTCTCCTGTTGTCTGTTAGTCTGTGCCAGGTTCCCATCCTTGCTACAAAAATGGGCAGCAGTGTTAAGGTGTGGCTTGTTATCTGTCATGTTTTTGCTCAGAGTATTTTATGGTGGGAGGGGGAGAAGGCATATTGGTGACAAAGTGGAAGCTGGCCACTTTGGGATTGCTGGTGCTACTGAACCCAATTCCCTGGTACAGATGGTCCGGCTGGGGGAAGTGTACGTACCAACTCCCCCAAACTACTTGGTCAGAGTGACTATGAAAAAGGTCAGGATTGCCCCACCTGTTTTAGGAGTTATTAAACGTTATGTAATTTGTGAGATGTGTGTCCTAGATGCTAACCTTCCGTTCGTTCGTTCTTTCTTTTTTTTTTCCTCTCTTCCCTGCTCTACTACCTGTATCTTGCAGTTCACTCTCCTTCCTTGTCAAGTTAGAACAGTTGGATCTTGGTGGAAATGACCTGGAAGTACTGGTAGGTGAGGGGTGGTGGGGAGGGAATATGGGTGGTTGGTAGGGGTAGAACCCTGTACCTCTGTGGAAGCAAGTGGTTTTTAATCTGAAATGCAGAGAAATAGACCTGCAGGTTGTTTGGGAAGATTCTGATCTGTCCACCATGGCCTAGTCATTGTTCCCAGCATAATGTTTTCTTCATGCGTTGGGCCTTGTGTCTTGCTTCCTGTTCTCCTCATGCACACCTTGCTCTGCTCTTTCCAAGCACTTTTGCTCTGGGATGTTAATTCTTGGTATCTAGCTGCCTAAGGATCTTTCCTTTCCAATGAAACTCTCTGGTGCTTCCTTTCCCTTCTGTGTTGCACTGCCCCCAGCTGTTGTTTTTCACTTCTGCTAGGCCAATTTTCTGCCTTTCTCCTTTCTGATTTGATTTCTCTACTGCAAAATGCAGGACCATTCTATGTTGTTCCTGGCAGGGAAGTCAGCCAAGCATGGGGTGTATGTCCTCTGGAGTGGGGTGCCTCCATGGAGGGCTCTGAGTGTAAGTTTGCCAAGAGCCAGTGCAGAGTCTCGAAATTCAGCTTGTCTTGACATTCAGGGACATCCAGTGATATTCTTTAATTTTGCAGCTATGGATTAAGCTGTTACTGAATCCTGCTTTTAATGTTCTGGAATGCTTTTTGGCAGAAACCCATGTAAATTGGGAGGCAAAGGAGTTTGTGCAGCTTGCTATGCACAAGGCTGCAGCATGCTTGTGAGAACAGTTATCTGCACTGCAGTGGTGCATTAGCTCCAAACCCAAATGCTAATCAGTGTGTTTGGTGTTTGTGGAGTGATGCTATGAATGTATGTCTACCATTGCTAATGGTGCTGCTATATCATGTTGAGTTGGCCAGTGTTATCCAAATGTTTGTTTTCCTGACTGGGAGGGGGAAGAGGAGAAAGACTTATTCTTCTGTAAGGCCAGAATTTCCAAAACCCTGTTTAGTTCTCTTCTTGTCTGCTATCAGACAGTCCTTGCTGTTGTCTTCCATGTTTCCTGTTGGGACTTTCTGCAGCCCGTATGCCACCCCAGACATTTCCAAACATATGTGCTGCTATATTGTGGCACACCAACACATTCGCTTCATAAACCACTCGTGAATGGTTCTAGGAGGTGTGAAAGCAATAACAATGTCTAGCTTTGTAGAGATGTGGTGTGATTTGTAGCATCCTAGGGCAGCTTCTTCCCTATGGAAGGGACTGATGCTATTACTGCCCTGCTCTGTTACAGCCAGATACTCTGGGAGCGCTACCAAACCTGCGTGAGCTTTGGTTAGACCGGAACCAGCTCTCAGCCCTGCCTCCAGTGAGTACCTGTTCTGGGCCATTGATTCACCACTTTGCTCCCTTCCTTAGCTGCTCCCTTGAGCCGTAATGTCTCCTTTCTGATCCTAGGAGCTGGGCAATCTCCGCCGCTTGGTCTGTCTGGATGTGTCAGAGAACAAGCTGGAGCAGTTGCCCAATGAGGTCAGTGGGCTAGTAGCACTGACGGACTTGCTCCTATCACAGAACCTGCTGGAATGCATTCCGGATGGGATTGGTGAGTATTGTGGCATGGGGAGCAGTGCAGGACTTCACTGTCCAGGCAGTGCTCCTGGCATGGGGGGCTTCAGGCAAGAGTGTATGTAACAAGATATTAGGGCTTGATGGACATAGTCACAGTAGTTGAGTGCAGAAGTGGTAGATGATACTGGTGAGCAGAACTCTACAGGACAAATTCAGGTACTTGATCTGCATCATGCATGTGTGAAACCTGTGAACAAACCTGGTGGGGAAGAAAGGTGGTGCCTGTAGTGTTAGGTTATGTGATCCCTGACGGGAGGCATTTCAACCAGATGAACATAGAACAGCGTCATTATCTCTGTAGCGTAGTTCACACCTAGCTTGTTGCCCTGGCCAGGTCAGCTGAAGCAGCTCTCCATCCTGAAGGTGGACCAGAATCGGCTGACAGAGGTGACAGAGTCAATTGGGGACTGTGAAAATCTGTCAGAACTCATCTTGACAGAGAACATGCTGACAGTAAGTACACTAGCAGCCACCCTGCCTCTCCTTTGGTGTTCAGTTTAGCCACATGCCAGGGATCTTTTCCCATCTTCTGGCCTCTGAGCCAGATTCCTGAGCATGCTTCAGCTGCTCTCCTTTGAGCTGCTTTGATGCACAGTTTCACCTAGGTCACAGGCTCTTGAGAAGACCCTGCTGGAAACTGCTTTCTCTCACTCTTTTCTTCTTTCTGAAAAATTCTCTAGGATAGCTAGGATGCTGGCTCTAGGATTAGCCAGTCCTGAAGCCCATCCAATCTGATGGGAGCAGGACTACATCAAAAGCTGCATTTGGCAAGGGGCCATGGAGTACTGTAATTTAAAATGGCCCTGCTCCACAGTGCTCATGATTTGATTGTTAAAACACAAGTACTGGGAATGGACAGATGAACAGGAGAAAGATCTTGACCAGTGGTGTTCTGAGTGTGCTGTGCTGAGGTGAAGAGGTGGTATGCCACAGTCTGTGAACCCGAGGGAAAATCTGTTCCGAAGTTCTAGTGAGTACTTTATCGAAAATGTGTCTGCTAGGACAGAAGACAGCCTTTTTTACCCAGATAGAGGGCTCTCTGCCTTTATACCTTTATACTACTGCTCATATATTTTGCAACTATTGAATCATCTCCTTCCTAGGCCTTACCAAAGTCCCTTGGCAAGCTGGCCAAGCTGACGAACCTGAACGTGGATCGGAACCGGCTAACATCCCTTCCATCTGAGATTGGAGGCTGTGCCAATCTGAATGTGCTGTCCTTGCGAGACAATCGGCTGGCCCTCTTGCCACCAGAGCTTGCCAACACCACTGAGCTTCACGTCCTGGATGTGGCTGGGAACAGGTCAGCAGCAGGAAGGGTAAACAGGCTTGTAGGCATGTTCCTAAGGAGGCTGCTGTGAAGGAGCAGCATGGGCTGGCCCCTGGTGTGTTTTGGGAGACGCTGGATCTGTGCTGATCCCAGGATCCGTGTTTGGGAGAAGCCCAGACTGACTGCTTAGGTCTCTGGAAAGAGGACATGTATTTCTCAAGCTTTGCTTGTTAAGCCCTTCTCTGTGCTACTTGAATACAGGGTAGAGCTAATCCAGAAATGTGGGGGCATTTTGCCATGTGTGAAATAAAGATCAGGGGAAATCCTTGGTCCACTGCCTACCTTCCTGCAGATTTTGTAGTTTTGTGTCATCAGTCCTCTGGTGATTGGTGCACATTTATGATGTGCACAACCCCACAGTGTGCAAATATCTGTGATCCGTTCTGAAAGATTCTGCAGTTCTGTTAGCTGATGCTGGTATATTTTGTAGCAGTTGGAAGCTGACTGGAGCTTCTGTTTGGAACACTCTCTGTACACTGGTCTGTGAAAGCATAATTTTTCTGTCTTCAGACCCCTCTTCAAAGTTGACCGTTTTCACAGTTGCTGGGAGTTGTCCTCTGCTAAAAACTGATGAGGGTAGGTTACTGGAGTGCAGTCTGTAGCTGTGGCAGAGCCACACGCAGCATGAGACAGCTGCTTCAGTGTGTATAAGTGGCTTGGCTTTGTCTATTTTCAGTGCAGGTGAGGCAGTCTGGAGCCAAGCTGAAGTTCCTTTTTTACCAAGTAAGTTTAACCAGCAGTTCTTTTCTTTTGCAGACTGCAGAACTTGCCATTTGCTTTGACAAATCTTAACCTGAAAGCCCTGTGGCTGGCAGAAAATCAGTCTCAGCCCATGCTGAAATTCCAAACAGAGGATGATGAAAAGACAGGAGAAAAAGTTCTCACTTGTTACTTGCTTCCCCAGCAGCCCTCTCCTAGCCTAGGTAAGACACTGCATTATGAACGCTGTCTGCAGTACTGTGTACTCTGGAGAGTGCTGTAGGGAAGAGGCCTTGAACCTTCCTCTCTGCTTGGTTGGGCTGTTCTTTGTTACTGTGATACCTGTAGCAGGCCTAGGCTCCTGAATGGCTGGTGGCAACCTTCCAAGGCAGGGATTGTTAAAACTGAGAAAGTACTTCTCTGCCAGGTGGTAAAGAAGCTGCAGCCTAGTCTTCAAGTCTTCTGCTTTGACCTATTGACAGAGTAGTTCATTGTCTGTAAGGTTTGCTTCCTGTCATTATGATATCCTTGTGTCAATAATTCAGATTCATGCCTGAATCCTACCTTTTTCCTTAGTTCTTGGGTAAGGAGTGCTAGAGCTGAACCATTCAGGTCCTTTTGTAGAGGCTGCTGTAGATCTGGTGGGAGATGTACAAGAGGTGACAAGATCTGGAGGCTACATTGTTTGTCCTTAAGGCCTCTGTGTTTGATGCCATGAGCAGATGCAACAGAAGTGCCCTAAGGGGTTGAGAATGGTCTTTCATCCAAGCCTACAACCCAACTTGTTCAGAAAGTAGCTCCCACTGTGTTATCTTTCTTCCCAGAGAATCTTTTGCAGAACAGTGTGGATGAGAGCTGGACGGACACCAATTTAAACAGAGTCAGTGTGATTCAATTCCTGGATGAACCCAAAGTAGATGATGAAGAGGAGTCTGGAGCTGAGAGGCGGGTAAGAAGAAGAGTTTCTGGAGGCTTGTTAGCTCCCTATGGAAACATAGGCACAGTCTAAACTTTTTTCCTAAGATGGGAGCCATTATGGTGTTCATGTTTCACCCTGTAATAGTGCTGCAGACATGTACTACATTTTTGCAGTCCAAAGGGCATTTGGTGCCATGTGGAGACAAACGAGTATAAAAGAGGATTCCTTGAGAGCCTTTGTGCAGATTTACATTTTGACAGCTGTCCCGTGGGAATTGAGCTGTGACTGTTAACCTGCCCATACATCATTTGCGTAGTCCAGAGATCCTAACAGTCAGAGCACTGTCAGGACTAGATTTTAGTTGACCCCACTCATGGGGAAGAACTGCACAGGCAATCTCCACTCCTCCAAACATGGAGTCAGATGCAAGCCCATGCTGTGGAGTATCCTGTTACTGAAGTAGCTAAACACAGTAGACAGCCTCAAAAACTGTGGAAGATCATTTTGCTTTAGTTGCAGATGCAAAAGACAGGATGAAAATTTCAGTTTTGAGCAAGTAATCTGTTGCTTTAAATCTCTTGCAGGAATTTTTTTCCCTTTTTATCTTGTGGAGAGAGATTCTCTTGAGATCCTGCTAATAAATGGTATTTGCATCTGTCCTTGCAGCATGTATATGCTGATGGTGTTTGGAGGTTCTGTGGGGGCTTTTTGTTTGTTTTAAACATTGTTATTCATTTTAGAATACGTTTTTTCTTGACTCTTAGCTAGTATGGACTAGCTAAGCATCACAAATTCTGGTTGCATACAGGCTTGTCAGATATGTTAAGAAACACCAGAAGGATTAAGAAGATACTCCATCTGTGTGTTCCTTTAGGAGTTTCTGTGTTGGCAGTTTCGCATTTACTAAGCCTGAAGCACAATTTAAAACATCCCGTCTCTACAATTCCTTCCAATCTCTCTATCAGATGGAGAGCAGGATAATGTCTGAGAGTGAGCTTTGAGAAGTGTTATCTGCCTCCATTTCTTTCTTCTTCCCAGCTGCAGGCTATAGTAGTGGAGAGGCCCAGATCAGATCCTGCAGCCTGACATTTAGGTTGCATCCATCTGGGGCTCTAGCACTCTGATAAAATATATTATTTGAAGTGGTTCAGTCTTGATGCATGGCACATGACACTCTGACTGTTGAATCTCCTGCGCTAAGTGTTTTTATTTGGTAGGGCTTACAGCGTAGAGCGACCCCTCATCCCAGTGAACTGAAGGTTATGAAGAAAGTGATTGAAGTTCGGCGCAATGGGGTATACGCTGCAAAGCCTGACACGGACCTGAATTCTCCTAACTCAGAAGTGAGTGCTGTTCGCTAAGAAATGTATAACCATAGAGAACATGTAGCAGACTTGGGGGATGGGGAGGCAGTGTGTGTAAGCTGGGCAGAAAGAGCTTAATTTTGGGAAAGACTGGAATGGACTGAGCATGGATTGCCCGAATTCCAGGGGTTGGAATCTGCCTTGTGGTGACAGCTGGGGCCATTGAGATACAGCAAGAGATACCACCAGGAGACAGAGAATTGTGTAAGGGGAATTGTGTGCATTTGTATCGCTTTTTTCATAACACAGGGAGAGGAAAAGAAGGCTCTGATATTCCCAGTAACGAATGATGGGAATGGAGTTCTCGGAGGAGGCATCTTGCTGCCCAGGTGTGATACGGAGAATAAATGCCTGCATAGATAGTGGAATAGGGGTGGACCTAGGTGAAATGCAGCAGGGTTGGCAGGGAAAGCAGTGGGCAACCTGAAGAAAAAGCTGGTTCTGTTGGTACTGGATCATACCCCACCTCGCACCAGTCACACCACATTGCTCTATTTGCTGCTTTGGTTTGTGTCTTGACATTTACAATCATCTTCTTAGGAGAAGAGGCTGAGCGCCATGTCAAATCGCAGTGAGGACTCCCACCTTTCCAACAGCACTGCCTCTGCTGACTTTAGGGGAGAGGAGCAGGGAGAGGAGGGAGAGAGGAGCTGGCCAAATGGGCAGGTGCCTGATATGCAGGAGCTGGAGAAGGAGGTAAAGCCCAGAACTGAAGAGGAGCATAAGGAAGCTGCTGTCCAAGAGGAGGAAGATGTGGAAGTGGAATACAATGAGGTAGGAACCTAGGAACTGCATCAGGGTCATGATAAAAAGTGGAAGAACTTGAAAGTTTCAGAGAAAATGGTAAATGGATGTACAGAGTTTGATTTGGGCATCACTGGAGGCAAATACAGGCCATGGAAGCCAAGTGCAAGTAGAAATTCAGGCAAGGAGCCTGAATGTGGGAGCTGGGTCCATGGAAGGACAGAATGGGAGCCAGGCAGGGACTATGGGAAAATCAGAGTTACAGGTTTGAGTGCTTTCAATTACTGGAGCTGACAGAAGATGTGTCTGGGTGAAGGAGCTGATACGGAAAAAGGCAAGTATGGTGAAATTTTAATGTGTATTCCTGCATCTTCTTTAGCACAAAAGCAACAATGCTGGCCTTGCCCCGTTGGTAGTGGGGGGACAGTAAGTTTCTGCACTACCTCCAGATGTGCCTTTTACCTGAGGTTCACAGCCTTTCTGGGGCTTTGCCATTGTAGCCCACTGTACACTTTGCTGAGGACACACTAATACGGAGTGAAGATGAGGATGAAGATGAAGAACGACCATTCCCAGTGGAGAAACAGAGGCTTATCCGCAAAGACACGCCCCATTATAAGAAACACTTTAAGATAACTAAACTGCCCAAGCCAGAGGCAGTGGTGGCACTCCTGCAGGGGCTCAACAGCGATGGAGTCCCCAAAGAGGAAGAGGAGTTAGGAGGCTGCAATAACAACACAGAGCCCGAGGATCAGGAGGAAGCATGGAATGAGGATGACACAAAGAATGGAGCTTTATCTGCTCAGCCATCAGTGAAGGTAAGGTCTTGTGGGGAGGGGGAAAGGTCAGAGGGGTACCAGACCTCCCTTCTGCTACTTTGAACTACCAACCATTGATGTGGTACCAATGAAAACATTGGCAAGAGGCTCCAGCACTTCAGGAGAGACATGCTGAGGGTGGGAGAGCTGAAGTTCGTTCTGGGGCTCACATGATTGTCCAAGAGCTGTGCTATGTTGCTTATGCCTGACTCTTTGCGCAGTATCCAGATTCTTGCACTTGCCCCATTATGTATGATGTTGTGTTCTGTGCTGCAAGAACAGTTCTTTTGTCCCATCACTGACAGGTTCTTCCATTCCTTTCAATCGCCTTCTTGCTTGCTGGTTGTTGCACCTCATTTGCAACAGGATGGATCTAACCTCAGGCTTATGTTCAGGCTGCTTACACCTGTTTTTCTGCCACAGTGCTTCCTGGAGAGGAGTGGGTAGTGAGAGCAGACAGGAGTGTGCCCTTCCTATTGGTTTCACCCTGTGCCTGCCCCAGTGCCGTTGCAGTCTGGTGAAGCGTGCATTGGGGCTTAGGGGAACTTGCGCTCTGGAGTTTTGCCATTACCATGGGTGCACAATGGGCCTTTCTGGTTATGCTGGGGGCTGATGAGACAGGAGGTCCTTGGCCCTACTTGGATGAATTACCATGGTTGGTTAGGGACACACAGAGATTCTTGCTTGAGGAAGATCCTCACAGTGGAATAGGAATGTACAGATGAGGGACACTGTATGAGGTTAGACCAGTTCTTACTGAAGTTGCTGTGATGATTTTGTGATGGGTCTTTGGCAAGCAGGGGTTAGGGCGTGGCTGAATCTCCATCATAGTCTGACATGGGTGAGTTGTGGCTCTCTAAACTGGTGTAAGATGCTGGAGTGAAATCTGTTCTTGCTGTTAGCTCACACACTCCAGACTGTTGGGATCATTTCCACCCCACAATGGAGTTCAGATGGCTCAGGGGAAGGTTCCTGCACTCAAGTTTGCTTTGGAGCCTTTATCTCGGTGGTGCTTGCCTTGCTGTATCTGAGCTGATAGAGCTTGTCCCTTGCCCCCTAGGGATGAGGCATGTAGTTTCCTTACTGTTTGTGAAGCTCCTCAGAATGAAAAGGAGTTGCTGCTGCTTGTAAGAATGTGTGAAGCCATCTTGAGTCCCCTTTGTCCAAGACCTGTCTTACTTGGGAAACGCCTTCACTCAAAAAGCTTATTTTAGCCAGGGACTCAAAGCTGAAGATCCACTGACCCACTGGCAAAATCTGTGAAGTCTACATATACGTTGAGACCACAGGTTTGGTGTATCTGTCAGAAAGTTACCTTTGTTATTGGCTAAGCCTTCTGCCTGGCACAGTGTTCCTTTTTGTGGAGCTGGGTTGGATGCCTGCTCCATGAAGGCAGATTTATTAGCTTGCCTGTTGAGCTGCCTTCCAGAAGTGGGAATGTGGGGAGCAGTGTCACTGTGCAATGGAGTTCCAAGTGAGAGGTGCTGCATATATGCATTGAAGAAGGAGGTAGGACAGGGTGTGCAGGAGGCTGAATCCTTAAACCAGAGGGTTTTTTGCAAAGACAGCTGGTTTTCAAGAGAAGTTCTGTGGTTTCCTGCATTTGGGAGCTGGATCCCTGGGTGTCTGGCAGGATGCACTGTTCCACCAGAGGCTCTTCCCTTTGCAGGAGGGACCAATGCAGTTTGATTTGGGATTGCTTCATTCCTGTGCAGCAGCTGGGTGGCACCAGAGGTCCCTTTGTGCTTTTTTCCTGTGTTATTTGATCCTTCCTTCTTCACTGAATGACTTGGTATACAGGGGAGGTAAAATCAGCTAATAGTGTTCAGCTTGTGAGCTTGGTCATCACAGCCTCAGAGTGCCAACACAGACAAAATATGGCCTTAAAGATGCAGCTTCCAGTTAGCTGGTTCAAAGAGCGCTGACACTCTGCATGTTGTGAGACCTGGGAGCAGCCCTGTCACTGGTACTTGCTGGTAGGTGGTAATCAGGAGTGGTGTGAGTGGGGTCTGCTCTGGTGCTGTGTGGCCACACCTATGAGAGTGGTGTGCGTTTGTGTGTTGGGTGGTGGTGGTAGTGGTGGTGGGTTTGGTTTATGCTCCACTAATCCGCATGCCTCTTTGCTGGTTCCTGTCCTAACAGGGGGTGTCGTTTGATCAAGCCAATAATCTGCTGATTGAACCTGCTCGCATTGAGGAGGAAGAGGTCTGTACCACTCCTACTGTTCTCTCTCTGCCAAAAATCATTCAGTCTGCTTGATTTGCTTCCCAGGCTCACCCATTGTTGTAGGGGAAACTCTGATCTCTCTGGGTCAAGTGGCTTCTGGACCTGACTGATCACAAACACACAATGATTGCTTCCTCCCCTGCTTTCACCTCCTTTCCCTACTTTTCCATACCTGAGGTGAGAATGGCTGCTGCAGATCAGGAGTGAGATGGAAGAAATTTAAAAATCCAAAGGGGGCTGAGGTGGAATGTTCAGTTCCTGTTTGTTGTGCACTGAGGAAGGAGAAGGTGGAAGAAAATAAATGCATACCTCTGGGAGTGGTGGGTAACTCTGAAGGAGTAGAGGCCTCATGAATCTGCTGAGTGCTGTGTATGACCCTTTGGGAGAGGGAGGAGGATCTAATTCAGGACACTGTGCCATTGCACAGTGAGAAGGGTGGAGCTAATGATTCATGCATCTCATGCAGCCCCCACTTATAAAATCCCCTCAAGTCCACATGCAGCGCTTTGGGATGTCAGAAGGGGGCAGGTGCCACTAGAGGGTCCGTAAAGCCCCTGGCACCATGGATGGTGTTCTGTGCCAAAGTTTGAAGTCCCGTGTCTTGCTGCCTTAGCTCATCCTCTGACTGTGATTAACTTCCTGAATTTGTTCCCAAGCTTTCAGTAGGGTTGCCTGATCCTTAGGGTCAGTGGGCTTTCTGCAGGCAGTGCTCCCAGGGACCTGTTGGAAGCAGAGTGCCACTGTCACTGGCAAGAGGCAGAAACTGTTGTCAGTACTAATGGCTTGTATGAAGGTTTCTTCCCTTAGGACAGCACAATGGTACCAGACCCATGTATTACTTGAGAGTGCTGTCTCTGTGAACTTGGCTGTTTGCTGTTCCCTCGGGTGTAAAATGGAGGCTCTTCTTTCTTGGTCTTGGAGTAAGACTTTCTGGGAGGGAGATGACAGATCCTTTCCACTTAAGGCAAGATGTGAGCTGGCTCAGATGTGGTCCGCTGTTAGTATGTCCCGAAGATTTTTCCATCTTAGCTCTAGATCACTGAAAAAACATGTTAATATGTCTTGCATTTCTCTTTTGCATAGCTCTTCTGTCACTCAGAGGCAAAACTGAATATAGCCAGGTGCTTCCCGATCCCTTATTTGGGAAATAGTGCTCTTGGTCCTTCTTTCCAGCTGTTGGACGACATGTTTCATTTGCAGCGTTTTCTTGCTCCTCAAGGTGCAGTGGCCCAGGAAACGTCTGTCTTGTATCGGGAAACAGTCTGCTCGCCTTTTCCTTGTCTCCTGCCTGTGCTTCACCTGCATCTGATGGAAGTGCCTAGAAATTCTCTATGGTGGCTGGAGAAGTTAGCTGGTTAGAGACCCCATTTTGCTCCGGTGCCCCTGCAGTCTCCTTTGTGCAGATCTCTTCCCTCACTGTAAAGAGCAACGTGGTAGTGCAGGTCCCAAGGACAAGCATACTAGGGATCCACCAGATGGGTGGTGGTAGCTGAAGTCACCCCAGAGCAGACCAGCTTTGGGAAGCAGTTGATTGTCCTACAGCTCTGGGAGAGTGCTCAGCTCAGTGCATGGTTGCTGACCTCTCCAGTCATTTTAGTGGAATCATGCTGGGCACCTACTAGGACTGCAGCTCATGTGGAAGATTCAGCCTCCAGAAACAAGCGAAAGCAAACTGGGGAACACGGGCTGCCAGTGCTGTAAGTGAGAGCTGAACTCAGGCACTGTGCGGTTGGGACACCTCACTCATGCTGAGAGGGGTGCCATTGCCATTTTTCCTAGCACATTGGCTGTGAAAAGCACATGCCTGTCGGTGAGTAGGTGGAGGACAATAGGAGAAATATTCAAGGCCTTAAAGACTACTTAGCATCTGAGTAGAGAATTACTTGGGAAGGGACCACTCCCAGAAGTAGAATCTACCTGCTGTTTCCAGGGATGATTTCTTGTCCTTGAGAAGAGCCTTTTATAGCTAAACCAATGGTCTGATGAAACTGAGCAAGACCATGGCAGAGTGGAGAGCCTGGTGCCCCTTGAGCAGCACAGTTTAAGTTCATAATGCTGCTATCCCATTCCTTGTATAATTTTATACAGCTCTTAGAGAGAAGGAACTGCTGATTGATTGTGTGTTCTTTAAGCCTAAACCATAATCCTGAGCCAAAGACTAACCTTTCCAGAGTACAGCTGGAGACATCTGCCTAACTTCTGTCAGCACCCCAGCATCAGGGTGTAGGGAGCCTGGTGCTGTGTATGCAGCTTGTACTTCCAGAGCTCCTTTAGCTGTTTGTGCCAATGGGACTCTACTACAGTGAAAGAAATAATTTTGTTAAAGCATATCATATCTGATAGTGAATATCTGGATTCCACTGCTGACTGTTCCCAATGTTTTGTCTCAGTCTCCATCTGCACTGCAGAAATGGCTGTATCTGGGTTGTAGAGAGGCTTTTGAAGGAGAAAAGAACCGTACTGAGCTGCTATTTGAAGGCAGAAGGTTGCACCTGAAGTCTGTTTGTTTTCAGATATTTTTTTTAAGAAACAGTCCACAAAGAGCTGCTGTGCAGATTGAAGATAATAGTTGAAGGAGGGTCCTAAGTTCTGTTTAAGTGACTGATGCTTCTTTGTCTGCGATAATGGCTGATGACATCCTTCTGTGTTTGCCCAGGCGTAACCCATCTTCTGCAGAGCACCTGAAAATACAGCAGTCATGAAAGGCTCTGCACTGGCAAAACTTGTGCTGACTGAGGAGCTTTATAGGCTTTTGCTTTTCCCATGATGGTTTCTCCCAGCTGCAGAAGGCTATCTGGAAAGGATTTCCCCCCCCCCCAGGAAAAAGCTAGGCTGATCTTAGATGTTCAAAGCACCTTGACTTCCTTGCCAGAGGGTGGCAAAGATCCTGTCAGCTGCTTCTGCGCAGATGTCATATCCTGTCACTCTGGAGTCAGAAATGAGGCAAGTCTTCTCCTTAAAGGAGTCTTGTCCTGTGGAAATTGCTCAGAAATACTACCATTTGTGTTTGAATATAGGCCTCATGCTTGGCACCACAATTGCTGTTTGCCAGAGGCAGACGGTGACAGCACAGCTTGGTCCTGAAGCATGCAGCATTAAGGGGGTTCAACGTTGAAAAGGTTGGCCCACTTAGTGCGTAGCATCGGGAGGCCCTGCCATCATGAGCAGTCCCGTTCATCTCAGTGATGCTGTTGCAATGCTGCCTTTACACTTGGACCTCTGCACCTTGGTCTGTTTTTGTTGTTTGCTGGGTGAGACCATGTACTCTTGAGGACATTGTCAGGCTTAGAACTCTTTATGTACCAAACGTGATTTTCCTGCAATGTGACCTGTAAATTTTAAACCCTGAAAAGATTAATAAACCTCCCTTGTATAATGCAAGGAAGAACACATCACCTGTATTTGCTCAGATGGCTTGACTAGAATATACTTTCTGACAGAGCAGATTCCTCTTGAAGTTATGCAAAGATACAGCACTCTGCTTTCTCTCATTTAATTTTTTAAATTACTAAAGTTCCCATTAGCAAGAAAAAATATGACATATTTTCTATTTGATTTTGTCTGGCTTTTAATTTATTGCCACAGGAATGTTTTTATGACCTTTTCCTACTGGGTTGAAGGGCCCTTAGTATTCTTTCTTAGCTGTGACTGTCCAACAGTTTGGAACTAGTGACTGTAATCTCTTCTTGTAGATGTACAACTTGTCATTCAGGTCTGTTAAGGCACAGTCTGAGTACAAGTCACCTACAATGTGACAGAGATTACTTGTGTGATTGCTGCTTATTCATCATAATATATGACTGTCAACTGCAAAATTTTATCTGATCTGGAGCTTTCTTAAGGACCAAATAACAGACTGTGGAATGATTTCTCACACAAATGCAGAACTATCTGCAGAGTTTCCCTTTAAGAGTGTGGCACAATCATCTGGTTTGCTTTCTCAAATAGAAAGAACAGAAAGGAATAGAGCAGTGTTTTTAATGGAGAGGGAGAAGATACCATGTTTAAACAAAACACTCCACTGTGCATCTGATTTTTGCTTTTGAAATAGGTAAATGCAATGTGTATGTATATAACAGATATGGGTCTTGCTGCTTAGGACAAAGATTATACAAAGAAATTTAGGCATTAAAATAATCACTGTACAAATTAATGGGGCTTAAAGATTTGTATGCCTTTAAAAACTGGTCCCTATTTGCAAGCATAATAGTATTTTCTGTCTGTGCCAACAGAGGAGAAAGATAACTCCTAGAATAGTTTTGAGACTTTGTGGTGAAAGACAATCACCAGCTTGGATCCAGGAACAGAAACAAGGCAAGACTGTGACAGGTTGCCATTTCTGGAAGATATACTTCAGGCAAAAAAGCACTGTGCTCAATTCAGGAGCAACAAGTTAAATTTATGACAAAGATAACAGAATATTTGGAAGAAATCCTGAAATCAAGTCTCCTACCATCACTAGCACCAGATACTGTACTCTATTTCATAAGTCAGTCAAACTTTTTATTAAATATAGATTGTTTTCTCCTGTTACTCGACATGTGTGCACACACTCAGGTTCCTCCTGCTGGGATAAACCAAAAACTTCTCCAGATTTCTACTTCTTGAATGATTATAAAACTTACTTTCAAGCTGAACTTGCATTTATTAATTTGTTTTTTTCATTGTATTTTATCTTGAAAAATCTCTTTCCTGCTGTCTGACGCTTTGTCTGCTTGTCCTTGGTATATTTTTATGGACATCAGTGTCAACTCCTTCTAGCCTTCATGTTGCTAGATTAAAGAAACCAAATTCTTCTAGTGTACTCTTGTAAAATAGATTTGCATTCCTTGTCTGTCTCACTGCCTTTTTTATTTACCTGTTCTCCTTGAACTCAGGTTTGTTGACTGTGGATAAAATGACAGAGTTTGTTCAGACTTCAGGTCACTAAATTCTGTAGTTTTTCTTCCACTTGAAGTGTAGTAATTTCTGTTCATGGA